GGAACGAGCTGTAAAACTGGCGATACTCTGGGTTTTTTGGCAGGCGGAAGATAGCCGACAACGAATAAAACGTTTTATGTTTTAATCTACATGTGGTCTCTAGCTCTAACGGTATTCAAAACAACCCTTCTGTACAGAACAATGTATACAAAATGATTGTCAAATATTATATATTAGGCAATACTTTGGCGCTATTATCTGGGCAGCAATTGTGAGTATAGATAAAGCTTAGCTATTTTTCCGAGATCTATAAGAGTTTTGCTTTAGATTGTTCTTGTGGTGCGCACAACGTACTCTCAATACCAATCGGAAAATCCGACTGATCCAACGTCACACTGCCACAAGTGGATTTACAATTTTTGCTCCGTCTAATCAGCGAGCGTGATCGGGTTAGCGTTGATCTTATCGATTTGGTTGATCCGATTATACTACAGCAAATTAAGTAAAAGCGATCAGAAAAACGAGCAACGTCAAGAACATTATGAAAAATGCATCTCTTAGATGTACTTTAGCCTATTATTTGTTGTGTCTCATTTCTAATTTGTATGGTTAAAGAAAATCTCATTTATATATCTCCTTGAACATATCGATAATGAACATTGTGTAAGCGAGTGAAGTTAATTTATCATGTTTCCTTTTTTCTCCACTTCCGACACTTGAGAAAAGTAGAACAGGAGTGTCGGTTCGAACGTAATACTTGTGTATTGAACGTTGTTAAAACCCAAGACATTTACTAATTTGTACATATCCTTTTAAAGTAGTTTCACTGTCACCTTATAAATGCTCGTTGTAAGAACAGAAAGTGCCTCCTGATCAATTTGACAGCGAACTCGAACTTCAGCCTCGAACCGAAATCGAACTTATTGGGTTTGGTGCATCTCTAGTGATGTGTGATATGAAAGGGAGTTCATTTTATCTGAACGCGTCTTTTGACTTAAAAAAACAAAATATCAAATTAGTTGACGAAAACATTAAAAGGTGAGTTCACCATGTTCTTGAAGAAAAGTCCGAGTAAAATATGGTGGAATCAAGCGTAACGAGCTAAAGGCCTTCTACAAAGCTAAAGATTGATTAGACACGAGTTTCGTCAGCTATGCACTTGAGAAAAACTGCCACTAGAACGCAGTTCTATGCAGTTTCTCTTTCAAAAAAGTATTGAAAACTTTGGTTCTTATTGTTCCAATAAAATGGTAAAAGTTGTGCTGAACGCGGCTCTGGGTGGTTTAGAAAAAGAAAACGGTTCGAAGCAATTTTCGAAGAAAAAACCGCTTGGATCGCTATTTTTAGCGGTTTTTCTACAGATATTTCGCGCATGGATTTTTGAGCCAAGCGCACGAATTTCTTGAGCTATGCACATTGTTTTAGATATTTCTCACCTCCTGCACATACTTCAAGCAACTCAAGCGCATGGAGGCAAATCTTGACGTATGGTATCTCATCACTCTAAAAAAAAATGCGACTTCTAGGAAGACACGGAAGTCGGTTCCCATTTAGTCGCATAATTGCACCTATTTTGAAGACACATCATGCGACTACCTGTAGTAGTCACATCCATCCGTCTACTTCTAGGTCGCATGGAAGACACTGAAGCCGGTTTCTGGTTCACATGTCTTCCATGCGACTTCTATATGTCTACCAGTAGACACATAGAAGCCATAAAGAAGACGTTTATTATTTTGAAGACGCAATGTAGTCATATAAAAGACAGTTTTTCTCGGTAGACAGATCGCTGAAGTCGCATTTTTTTTTAGAGTGGTGTGCTTGAGAAAAAAAGCTTCACTATTATACGATTTACATTATCCAGCCTTCGTAGCGGAAACAGTAACCTTCATCATCGGAAAAGCTCATCGACGTGAAATTACAATTAGAAAACGAGCAAAATGTCATATTTGAGCCACATAAGAGTTTTATTTCGAAATTAATATTAATTCTAAATACACTACTCAATATTAAAGACCATTCTGCTAAGATTCTGCTGATTAATCCTCAGAATCGTCCTAAAACATTATCAAGGAATACAAAAATAGGGACGATCTCAAATGATTTAAGATTCGAAGTCTGTCTAACTTTGACACATTTACCTTCGAATCATAGAACAGATATGAATAAAGGACCCACATTCGCCTATAATCATCGTGAATTAAACGTTAGTAATCCATGTACCAAGTGTCAGAGGAATTTTCGTTAGTGGTAATGATCTACAAGTTCATCTTCGAGATTCGTGTTATCCTGAAGACATACGGTATTTAAGAGATGTTTCTAAATTCTTCTTCCAATATGTTAGTAATTTTGTACAATGTTATGAATACTCGAATTGACAACATTTAGAATCAGGATTTTCAATTATTATTAGTCTGATTATATAGATTTTTCTATTTTGAAAAGTCGAAGGACAGGTCTTTTTGGTAGTTTATTTGTACAACAAAAGTAATATCTAATTTTTATTCAAATCTCGTCTAGATCATCCTGCAGAAGTCAGGATAAATGTTTTGACTTTTTCTGTTTGTTCTATTGATTGTTTGAATCGAAATAACATTGAACTTTTCAAATCTGGTCATTGTCAAAATGTTATGATTAAGACACGTTTTTATGAATATCAGATGGAATTCGACGATATTTGACTTTATGTTAATGATGAACAGCAGTTATTATCTTGGTTCTTTCGTGATTGTTTGCATTCGGATTCAGATATCTGCTTTTTAATAGACACTATTCAGCTATTAACAGAAAAATTGTATACGCTCGATTATTTACAAAATAAACAGCAATTGTTGGACATTCTTTTCGTCTATTAATGCAACGTGCCATTGATCTATAAAAATCTTTAATCAATCATTTATCAACTTCTGGGATGGTTATTTTTTATCTCGTCTTTCAATTTCAATATTTGCGAACCTTCAATAATTTTTCAGGATGAGTTTCTTTATAGAATGAAATTAACTTTTATGTAAGTTGTGAGATAAGAACATATTGTGTATTGCCTATATAAATCTAAACTGAAGTTAGTCTTAAAATTGTCATAAAAAGATCGGAATTTTTGTATAATTCATTGTCTTTCCAGTACAATGAAAACGATTGCCATATACAATAAGTTACTACGTTTGCATGGAATAAGACCGTATTTGATCGTAAATCGTTGTTGACGATTGTATGAATTCGACTGAGTTGTTATATTAAATTGTGATATTATTAGGATTTGACATTCATTGACTTTAGGCGTGTGAGAATCAAAGACTTCTAAGTCGTTTATTTGCTATTTAAGGAGTTCTAAACAAGTTCAGATGGTTAACCAGGGGTGTAGAATCTACCCGTGAGATTAAGAAATTTCTCCCGATGGTAAAAAATTATTATAAAATTTCCCCCTGAACGATGCAATTTGTTATGTGGCTTGACCTAAGGCATACCATTCATTCTTCTTTCTTCCCTGTTTCCATTCCTTTTCCGTTATTCTTTTCTTGTATTATACTCAGATTGCTTTTGTTATTGGAGAGAGCAGTTGGTTTTTTAAAGAACATAAAAATGGAGATAGACGTTAAAGGCCCACATAATTCTTCATTTTTTCAAAAACTATTTTATTTTAAAAAGTTTCCCCGAATAAAATTTTTTCCCCCGACGGTCGTCAGAGCAAACGGATAGATTCTGCACCTCTGATAGTTACTTTGGCTGGTCCAACGTTTTTCAGCTTCTCAATAACTAAAATATATGTACAAAAGAATATCTTTCGTTATTTGTTGTAATAATGGAAATACGCACAAGTTTTTTACTTGTAAAGCATCGATTACATTACTGTTCTTTCTTTATAGAAAGGATTAAATAAGTGGCAAAATACAAGTTTTCAGTCATTGTTTGAATAAATATTGTACGTACAGCTCAGATAAATAAAAAATCTATAATTTTATTGGAACAAAGGACAAAAACGCAAGAAAATCAGATCCACTAAGCTTGCAGTTATAATTTCAGCTGGATCTCCGACATAATTTAAATGAATGTCTAGCGATAACATCAGATTCCTAAACACATGAGCTTCTCACTTTTCCATCATATTACTCATTTAATAGGTCAGCATGTTCGATTTAACTTAACGATTTCAAACGTCTCGCTAGTAAAGATAGTTATGTGAAGTAGTTCAAGCTTGTATACATATATTTTAAACTCTTTATTTTAATTCTAAACATCTTTCACAAAAAAATTTTACAAAAAAACGGTACGGTCACAAATTGCTAATTCAATACATTTTATTGAAATTTACAATAAAAAAATAGATAAGAGATTGACGACAAAAAAATCCAAACAAAACAAAAAGAAAATTCTTTATTAGACGTTTATAATAATATATTGCGCTTCACATGTTTAACCACATCTTTTGTTGCTCGAATTTAATTAAAAAGTAAAGCAAGCATTGAATAAACCACTAAAGTAATTTTTTTGCCTCAGTTGCTATACGCGTACAATCACATTAGAAAAGCTTTATAGAAGAAAAAATTGATCATTTGAGTGAACCTAGAACAGAAGATTAAAGCTGTATTCTAGTGCCTGAAAAACGTGAAAAAAAGTGTTATAGTTTATCGTACGTACCATGTACACAAATCTAAATCAAAACTATGTACAGTTTATAAGTATGTTTTATCATATGTGTTATGCACACTAATGAAATGCCAGATATAATATACAATTTTCTTTATCTGCTAAAATGAAAAATACTGTTAGATGTTTCTACCTGAAAAATAACTGGCTTTGTGGAAATATAGTTAACAAAGGAATATCACACTAGTGGCCGGGAATATATGCTTATGTTCTATATCATCTTGTTATATACTCACCCTTACAACAATAAATCATTTACGTTTATTGATATTGATGGTTCCAATTGAACAGGAGAAATTCTGTCGCCTCGACAATAAGTCTTAATGTCTTTGTACACCTTGGAATATTTATCTGGCTCACGATGCACATGTATGACCTTAAAACATCCAAGTTTCGAATGAATGACAATACTGGATTCATGTTTCAATACTCACGTCGGAGTTGAGATCGACAATCCAATACTCTTCAATGTTAAACGAAGCATAAATAGACACTTTTGTATTAATATCAAAACGCAGTGATGATAAAGATACTTCGATTAACAACTTCACATGTTCACTCTTTGGCAACGTCTTTGATCTTTTGTCATAACCAGAAAGAACACTTATGTCCGGAGACAAAACATCTTCGCCAAAGATGATAGAATTCTCTGATTTTAACAAATAATTTTTATGCAACGATTTTTCATGCAATTCTGTAATTATTTTCGCAACTGTGTTTGAGTGTTCAGCAGATGTTGGCATGTTTGGATAAAATATCCCACCGATATATTCTCCCTTGGCTAAATGAAACGAAATTCAATATTTTATGAAGAACAATAATCGTGTTTCGACAAAAATTGCACAGATGTGCACATTCATCGGCCAAGCAAAAGTCTTAAACGAGCAGTTCAGTTTACCTTCTAGCTGTCCCGTATCGACCATTTCTATAAACTCAGCAAACGACAGTTGCACTTCCATTCCTTTAGCAAAACCAGAAAAGAAGGTAAATACTACTTTATTAAACAACAATTGTTATTAGTGGTATAACATGCAGTTAGTGTTTATCGAAAGTTTATATACAGAATAAAACAAAGCCTTTACAGTGACAGTGCCTATACACGATCAGTTTATCGTCACTGGTTGTTTTGAAACCAATTAAATTATGAGAAAAAACCTGCAATGGAATGCAGTTGCACTTAACAGAAAAGTTATATGAGGCTTATTATAGCTGAGCTCCGACTTCGATAAAACTCTTTATTAATCATGAACCATAATATTCATCAACCCATTCTAAGAGAGCGTCATCTAGTGAAAATAGAAGAGTTTCGAACCGCCATGGTCGATGACGTCATAGGTTTTAGTCATCCGAAGCTATCTTTTCTGTGGCAACATTTTATTCAATGAGATCTCTTGCAAATAAATACTACTTATTATCGCTATTCATGCTTTTGATTTCGACTGGAAAAAAAATGAATGGAAAAACAGTGCATTGCTATGTTAAATAGAACACTTAATCAATCAGCAGTTCCATGGTTTACTGCTCTGGAGCACTAGAGTTTTTTTCATATATTCACTCTACTCCATTGTTGCCGAGTGACACCTCAACAGTGGGATCGACTGCAAAATGACTAAAAAGTTTCCGGTCCACAGTTTTAGAGAAGTTTTGTCTTTTGATAATAAACTTTTTCCAGTTTTAATTTGACGAGAAGAATTAGCCACACAAGTTTTTATGTATGACTGATATGAAGCACTTTTTTGCCGTTGGCGGATGGTTCTAGATGCTATCCGCTACATCACACGGCTATGAGCCTAGAGACTAATAGCTAGTAAACTTAATTTTTGACATTTTTTAACTTCTAGTCCCACCTTGGAAAACACTTCCGTCATGACGAAAAACGGAAAATAAAGTTTAAAAAGGGTTTTCGGGAGTCGGCTTCGGAGTAAAAAATATCAGAAATTAAGTTTACTATCTTTTAGTCTCCAGGCTCAACTCCGTACAGTGTTTCCAGAAAGTGATAAAAGATAAATGCGCATAATTTCATAAAAACTACTACTTCCGTTTGTGTCATAATGTCCCATAAATGACTAATCTAATGCACCTAAATGATATGATGTAATTATGATCATAAAATGTGACAAATATAATTGTAAGAAAACGATCATTTTAGATCAGAAGTTCAATCAGAAGAAAAATGATGTAAATATGACACATAAATGTCACATCTATGATCCTAGAGATATGATACATAAATAGATCAGTTTTAGATGATCATACTAGGATCATATTTAGATCATTTTTACAAATTATATCATATATACATCATTTTTATCTCATTTTATGAAATGGTCTTAAAATGACTCAAATATGATATCATTTTAAGCTCGTATTCATAATATGATCATTTTCACTTACATGTCTCATCTCCTGCGACCTGGGTAGTGCTCTAATCGTATTTAAGCGATTCAAACGGCGTCTAAAGTATTTCTAAGATACGTTTCATTCGGTCCGGTTTCCAATCTGCCCATAGGGTAGTTGGCAGTATCTTATACTTCTTGTAATGCATCGTTACGAAATCCAAGTTGCTCAGCTATGGACAATGCTTCAGATCGTTCAGATCTTTCGATTCGCATACAATTAATTTATTAACAGGTTTTTCTGCTCGACACCAGTTTGTTTTGTATATAAACGATGACCTAACATCTTTGACGATACGTTCTTTGCTTCTTCTGCACTAAAACGAAGAAATAAAAACAAACATAGATACTTTTATATCAAGTAAACAAATCGATGCATACGAAAAAGTCAGTTTAACGCTACCTTTCAAGCCTGAGTCAAATGTTCCTTTCCTCCTTCCTCCAGCTAATATACTTGTGCTTTAATTACTAAATCATTACCAAACTCTGAAAAAAACAATTTAATATATACGTTTTTAATAGTTCTTCGGTTCACCAACCTTTACTAGCAGCTATCTGCTGGACTTGTTCTGGAGTCGTAGCTAGTTTAAATTTAGGGACGCATATGCCAAAATCTTCTAGTAGACCCATTGTTACATATTCGTGTAATAATAAATAATAACGCTTCTGACTATACATGAAAGGACACGGTGAAAGCTAAAAAAGATAGAGTCCAGATTATTCGTAGCTCTATTTTTCGACGTCGGCGCCATATAATGGCAAGGCGTTTTCGTGTTTACTTCAAAACAGAAAGATACCTTAAACAGCGCATTTTTTAAAAATGCCATGTTTCTCTACTTTTGAATTGTTTTTTACATGCAATTGTATTAAATCATAAAATCTGAAAGAAAAGCCTATTAGTAGAGAAAATACTCTGTTCCACGATGAAATTATTAAACATTTCGTTTCTCAAGTGGACACAAATAATCGAAGTATTGGCCTTCCATAGTCCAGTTATGCTGATCTCTCGTTCGAAAGATCACCGAATGAATTATATCTTCAGTGTTTTGCATATATCAAATGATGTATAGATGGATAAAGCGCTTAGTGGATTCGTCCCTATTATTTCGAGATACAAAACTAAACAAGATGAGTCACAGATCGATTGATTCATGACATAAAGCAAAAGGCAGCCGTAAACCATTCAAAAATTGACAAAAAACAAAGTGAAACTATCAAATAAAATGTACTGTGAATCTACAAGGATACATTATACTTTGTAATTGCATTGTCACCTATGATTAGAAACGGTATGTCCTTTTTCTTTCGTAAAAAAGTAAATTATAAGAAAAAACGCTGGAAAATAATAAATTAACGGATGGCTCAAAAAGAGTTATAGTCTCAGTTTTATTCCTTTTTCTTATGGTTAATTCAGTAAACTTTTTACTAAAAGATAGCCCGTTGATTTCTCTACAAAATACGTATTTACTATTTTATTGTAAAATCCGAAGGTGGAAAATGAGATGAGAAATCCTATGAAGTGCAAAAATGGAGAAAAAATTAATGTATTTTCTCAGAGAGCTAAATTTTTTCAAATGGTTTCATACGTATCAGAACGTGATTTGAGTCACTTTCGTATAATTTCAAGTGTAGTCCCTGTCATGACATGCAACAAAATTTGTTTTGAGTGCAAATATCCGACGCAAACATTGATTTGTCCAAAATCGGGCGAAAACAGCAAACGATTTGAACGTTATCTACGCGCAATAGTACAGAAGGCTTTCTCAAAGCTTACTGATCCAACAATATAAACTAATCACTGGTCTTCAAAATGAAAAAAATTCAACCCGAAAGGATGAAGTTTGACTAGACTATACTTGTTTTAATTTAGACGTTTAATTTAGTAATTTTAGACTATACTTGTTGTTACATTAACATTAACATTAACTTATTTTTTCTCCATTATTTTTCTCTATTTTCGAATATGATAATCGGATATCATATTCGATGATTTCGACCCTTCCGAACGCTTTCAGTCGAATATACCCGACAGAATCTACTTGAAACCAAACAACAGTTTAGCACCAACAGTATGACTGTAAAATCAAGTTCCAGTAACCATACTATATTAAACCTAGCGCAATACATCATTCGATGCGCCCTGAAAAGCTCTGTAACATGTGTTAATGTTAACTTCATGTTTTTCCGGAAAGAAATCCATCTTTCTTCACAACAGCAGTATTAAACTTTCTTCACCCAATCAGTCTGCAGCGGATGTAGAAGATATTAAGAAAAAGTATCATATACCTGTTCTACTAGAATAAAATGCTTGCTGACTTGTAAATAATGTTTCCATCTTGTTCGACTATCACGTAAAAACTCAAGTGCTTGTTTGATTGTATGAAACGAAACTTATAACTGGGGCTTTGTGATGGCATCTTTAATACTTAAATTAGGCAGATAAGAACGACAGTAAATGAACAAGCGGATAATCATAATCAATAATAATGCCCAAGCGGATAATCTGCTTTGTACATGAACTGGCAATTGAAATCGCATAGCCGATGCTCCATCATAAGTTTGCGGTATTACTATATTTCAATATAGTAAGACTAGTATCAAGACTGATAGTCAAGACTAATATCTTTCTCTATTTGGTGCAGAAACTTTT